AGTTAGTTATCTAAGGATAGTTATGTGCGCCTACTTCAACTTCTTCGTGATAACACGGACAAGTTTTATCGTTTACGTCTCGACAATAACTTCTTTGTGAGATGCTTCGAGTCACTAAAATGCCTTTTATTTACACTACAACTATTATTATGATAAATTTCTGTTCGTGTTAAATGTCTTATCTAAAATGTTTCCCAAAAAACACTTGCAACATTGTTACTTTCGCTTTCAAATGACCTTACTCTCTTATATCTATTTAGCGATAATGTCCTCTTTTAAAGAGCAAGTTTTTGTCATATGCTTAATATAGAAATACTCATAAAATCACTAATATTGAGGAGAAATTTATGCCTTCAACTATTATATAATAATATATAATCAAACCAGGAAGAAGCTTACAACTTTATTTTTTTCATTTGTTTCCTATTTCAACAAGAGCGTCGGTGGCTCAGGGGTTTAAGCACTTGACTTGCAATCTGCAGGTCCTGGGTTCGAATCCCGCCATGTACGTTCTTACGGTGAAGGAAAACATCGTGATGCAACCTGCACATATCTGAAAAGAAAGATATGTGTGAAGTCAACCAACCCGCACTGGGCCAGCGTGGTTAACTATGGCCTAGTCACCCGTAATATAGGGTAGGCTCCGAGCCCCTCAGTGGGGACGTATAGTGAGCTGATGATATATGTTTCCTATTTGTTTGTTTTTATTCTTTCCTAACCAGAGTTATTTTTAAAATATGTTAAGTTGTGCTTTAGTCAAGTGTAGCCGTTTATGGTATTTCCACAGCTAACAAAACTGTGGAGCCATCTGCCTTGTTCGTACTTTAATTAAATTTCAGTATTCCGAATTAATTGTTCGGCGAAGCGGCCGCTCGTGTTAATTGGCGGTCGTTAAAACTTCACACAGTGCGGTGACTTTGCACAAACCATACATTTTTACTTTCATTTTTTTCATAGAAGGTAATATTTAATTTTTTGTTACGTATTTTTGTATTAATATAGCTTTCATTGAAACATTTATTAAAGAGATTAACATCAATTAAGCGAGGGAGGTTTATCAGGACCGAGCCAAATGTAGGTCCATGGTCTCTGCCTTCCCCTTTGGATTACGGGCGTGAGTTGTGTAGTTGTATCATTGGGTAATATTATAGAATGACTAATTATCGTTCTTACTCTAGTAAACTAAGCTATTTTGAAATAATTGTTGCTTAAGCTGTTCATTCTCGGAATGTGAACAGTCTGACTTTTGGAAATATAAAAGGACTTACTCGTAAAATTGTTACAGAACCACGCATCGTTAATATTTTGTAGATAATGAATAAGCTATATCAAAATCTGGTCTAATTACTTAACACAAATAAAGTTTAGTACTACTCTATTTTACCTCCATTCCTGCCAATCAACGTAATGGCTGACGCCCCAGGGGAGCGAGTAACGCGTCACATCAGTTTTGTTGTAATTACCTCAAATACAACGTTATTTTATAGTTAATTATAAATATTTTATAAATTTAATTCTACGGAGGTTTTATTTAATTAATTCGAGTCTATTATTTCAATTAGTGAGAAAGAAGGAAGAATAACTATGTTTTATTTGCTGTTACCTAACGCGAATGTCTTTGCAACTGATCTTTTTCTTTCCCTTCGCTAATGGAAGTTTTTTTTAATACTTTTTGAACTGTAAGTTTACTATTTCGGTTCAGTTATTTTAGTTCAGTGACTATGCCAAAATAAATAACGGCTCGAATATCTCGCGGTCGTTCTTATGTTTCGTTAAAATGTCATTGGACGTTCACAATGCAACGAATTTGAAAACTTGTCACAGGAAAATACGTGTTCAATTATAACTCTTATTTTGTTTGCTCTGTGGTATTCGTAGTGGGAAGCAAATTTATTTCTCTGGCTGCACTATAGCACTAAGATAAGTAGTAATAAAATAAAAACTTTTGTGAATAAAACTGAACCCAAAAGATTATATCATTTGCTGAATTGTTTAAAAACTTCTTTCTAATCTCTTTTCCTGAAAAATACTTTTTAAACTATTTAGTATTCATGTAAGTAATAAAATAATGCGAACAATTATCTGAATATCGTTCAAAATAAATCAGTTATATCCCAGCAATCGCGGCAGATAAACTAAAGTTCCAGAATGTTCACAATGTTGTACGATGTATATTAACAGAAGATATTCAACCACTTGCTTCTATTTTACGTCTATAATTAAATTAAACCAATAATTAAAACTCCTATTACGTGGAAAAAAGAAATGTAAAAAAAAAAACTTATCTCAATCCAACACTGAGTGAAGAACTTAAGAGCTTTTCGTTTAATCAGAACAAAATTTTGCCCTTTTTATTATACCTAAAATACACTTTCCAACATCAAATATGAAGTAGTCTAAACGAGGGGCCGCTAAACAACTAAAAAAAAGTCCCAACAGATTGCGCCACTGTGTGAGGTCAATGCACAAGAATCGTATAATTTTCTTGACTTCAGCTGCACCAAGTTTTAAGACTCAGCTTTTTAGAACTATCTAAGGAAAGATATAAAAGGCAATCATGTTCCATTTTAAAAATTCTTTTCAACGAAAATGTAATTCGAATTTTCATGTTATTTTGTTTGCGATTTTTAACCTGTCTGACTAAAGAATGAATGGGTATCTTCAAACGGTAAAACCAAAAAAAGACAAGGGTAAATTTTATTGCAGGAACCTCAGTACAACCGAAAGTGTAGTAAAGCATATATTGTTATCTCTTTATTTTTCATATAAAGTGATAGGTACAACAAAAATATAATGAAATTTGTACAGGATTTAACAGTGGAAACCTACGGTGAAACGTAAATAGAATACAAATTTAATTATTATACTTTCCCAATTAAAAGGCAGTGTAATGAGAGAAAGAAGGTTTCTTGTTTCCTTCATATTTGCCTACATTTTTGTTGCTATGCTTAAATTCGGTAGGTACAAATCCTGTGCCAAAATGCCTCCCTCCTTGTTAACCGAGACTCGATCATTCTTTTATTCGTTTGTGAACATTAGACGAACATAAAACCTAGTTTATTGTCAGACGTCTAGTCTTTACTGCCGCGACTTCTTACCAACAAAATTTTAGGCAACATTTATTTCCATCTTATATTCTCTTGACTTATATATATGGTTAGATTATGTAGAAATCAAAGTTACGAGTATGTTACATTTATCACTAAGAACATAAAATCGAAACAATTTCTAGCAGAATATAGACAAATAGGAAAAGTTAATAAATAAAAAAACTATTTCAATTAAAAATATAACTTGTCAGTTACTAAGTTAATACTTGGTTCGACAATTTAAGCGAATTTAGACATAACGATAACACATTCCACGCTACTATATTTTTTTGGAATAAAAGTGTACTAGCCAAGGGGTCGGTGTCACTGAAAGTGTTAAAAAATATTCTGGCGGAATCGGAGGAGTCGCTGATTAATTCAGAGTGTCCTTTAAATCCTGACTAATATAATACTAAGGGTACTCTTATAAATGAGGTTAACCAGTCTACGGAACAGAAACTACATATGTACGTCTAGACAATGGCCGGTTGCTGTCTAGACCATGTTTGACCTTGTGGCTTATGGTTTTTTAAGTAATGGTATGTAAGATATTTATCTACAAGGTATTGTATGTATTTACATTATATAATCTGTCTAAGTTAAAACGTTGGTATAGTTTTTCTATCGTAAATACGTCGCGACTACCCAGAGACTTAAATTATAAATGTGACCAACATTTTAGGAGAAGATTTTGGCATACAAAACGTAAAGAATTCGTGCGAATTTTTGTGATTTCTTAATTTATCGAAAAGAATTGAAGCAATACTAATTATGGATATCCACTGAAGAAACATATAAATATATTTAGAAAAAAGAGTGATACCGATATGTTTTTGTACGTGTGTTTCAGCTGCGAAAATCTGTGGTAATCATAGCTGGTCTTCGGAAAGTCTTTTGGTAAGTTACTCTGTGGTAAACCATAACGACGGAAACTTGAGAGTTCGTTTATGATTGTGTGTAGCCGAACAACACCATTATTAAGGCAATCAACGGTCGTACAGCGCCTACCGTAAACTAGTTTGTGAGTTACGGACAAGAGACTTGGCACTAGGCCACACTAAACGTTAAGGATGTCTCGTTTGAACAATTATACTAATAAATAGCGAGTTTAAGAAACTCTTAGTAGTATGAGAAATGAAGAGCCACATCAAGAAGAGTGTGACGAATGAAATTACGAATGGTAGATAGAATTTAAACATGAAGGGGAATAAAAGATGGTGTACTTTTTTACACAAGTCAGAGGAATTAATAACACAATGTATTTTTTTCATTTTACAATTAGTCATTTATCGATCCCGAAAAGGTTATAAAAATTCCGAACGGAGACAGCCACAAATATGATGTTGTCCAGGATTAGAATCCAGTAATCCAGTTAGCAGTGTGTTACCACACACAATAGCTCTGTCCAGGTTTATGACACGCTCCTATTGTTCCGTAATTTTAAAAAAATTAAAAAGGAAATAACAAAAAGTCTTTTTTTATAATTATGCATGCATGAAGATGTTTTCCATTGTAATTGAAAGACGGTAAGATGTAGCAAGTAACAATTCATGAATTATACAAATTATTTAATGTCGCCATCAAAGTACGACCATTTTGATTCGCAGCATCCTCGCTTTGCTTACACTCAAATCTTATCACTGTCTGATAACTAGTGATTAGATATTAAAAATCTGGTCTCTTATAACAAGTTCAATGCCGCGTTTTGAATGTTTACCACCGCCATTATGAATTTAAAATGAAAGCCATAACTAATTCTAAATTCAAAATTAAACAATGACATAAACGAAATAATTAAAGTAGCAGGAATTTCTTTATAAGTTTAAAAAAGTACGATTTAATAAAGCTTGGTTGACAGTAATTATAAAATTGATTAGACAAAGGTAAAAAGGTATTTTTCATTGTACTAACCTGCTTAACAATAAGTCTCGCGACCCTGGGGCTTGCGAATGTAACAAAGCCGTAACATTTGGAGACGCCAGCTCGGTCGTAGATTACCCTTGCCGCCGTTACAGTTGCGAAGCCGGAGAAAAACTTCCAAAGATCCTCATCAGTCGTCGTCAGAGAAAATCCCCCCACAAAGATCCTATTGTGTATGACAGTGCCGAATTTAGGAGCGTCGGAAGGCGGCAGGGTGTCGTCTGTATCCTCCTCGGGAGAGTTCAACAGAGCCTTCAGCTTCTCGTGGGGATCCGTACTTTTTCTATTGTTCGTAGAATTCTCTTCTACCATGTGTGCACAACTCGCTGATTCGCTACGTATGTACCTTTTAGCACTGCCTTCCATTTTACAGTCTTCTTTTAAAACATGTTCCCTTGTTTACTAAACTAAAAATTCTAGCGATAACTAAACGAGCACTAATGTTCAGACGAAAAACAACTCGGACTGGCTTTACGCGGCGTAGTATCGATTTGGCCGGTACTATGGCGTTATATAGATGTATTTTATGTCTTGCGCCGTAACCGTGTTCGCGCGCTGACAGATTCTCGACTCGCTAAGACAACAATGCGATTTGATGCGAGAGATAAGGGTGTGTGGATTGGGATTTTAAAGATACGCACTAAAAATAGTGTTTGAGCTATTGTCGCCCGCTATTTTTACTGGTCGAGGTAACTAGGTCATTGGATTATACGTGTGCATTTTCCAAGTGGTTCTTATCTCAGTTATTTAGTTGTGGTTACGCGCGCAAAGATGGCGCTAGTTGTAAGGTCTTGAAAGCTTTTGGTACAACTTTTTTTTAGATCTACCTTATTATTTTCCAAAATAATTGGTAGATTTATTGTGAACAAGTATTATGCACTAAATTGACAATAACAATGCGTTCGTATAGGCTTTTAGCAAATCTTGAAATTCTTCTATATGTATTGAAATTATGTTTTTATTAAATGATAAATATTTATGTTACATATAATAAAACCAAAAGTTAAGTTTATTTCAAGATTATATAAATATTTTTTAAAATACTGTATGAAGTAATGTGCGCATTTAGTTAAACTTTAGTCTTTATAAACATGGAAGTTCCGACTCCAAATTTTATTATTTATTTTCAGAAAGGTAAGCAAGAAGAAATTTGGTAAAAATTTATTAACAGTTGTGTGATGACTTCATTATTGAAATCACAAACCATAAGTCCCTTGATAAGTGATTACTTTGACAAAAATAATTACACGGTGGTAGAAATTGGTTTTAGCAATTTATAATGGGCTGGCAACTTTACTTTAAGTCAATTTGAAATGTCAAACGTGACAAAACCAGTAAACGTCAAATTCTGCAAGTGTGTAATGTAAAGTTTGTAAAGATTTGCAAATGTGTGCCAGTGTATGATTATCGCACTTGTTCGCTGAGTGAACTTTATTTTTATTTGTTGTGTTTATGATATCGGTACTTGCATAAACTGCTGTCTCTGTGTTTTATAATGCAAGCAATCGTTATTAATTGTCATTTAATCGTGGTTTTGTATTGATCTGTGTTTGATAACAAAAAGAAAAATATCTTTTAAACGGATTACAAGACGAGTTAACTTCCACTGGTGTGAGTATTACGTTTTTGCTTTCATTTAATATTGCACATTGTATTCACAATAGTTACTGGACCGTTCACTTCAGTTTTCGATACTGAATATTAAATGAAACCGGTAAACATGCAAGATGTTACTCATTATGATTTTTCGTCTTACCTTCGATGTAATGCGTAAAAATATACATAGAATTAAAACCTTTGATCTTAATTTATTTCGCCATAAAAATATGCTGCCGCTTTGCAATATTTTTTGTAATATTATTTATGAAATTACTAACTTAAAATTGTCAGTTAAATTTTAAATATAAAAATTGGAATAATGAATCTTTTGAATTGACATAACTGGTATATTAAAGCAATAAATAATGTTATAAGTTTAATTTGATACTATTTGTAAGAATTAGTATAACAAGTAGCGAACATACATCTTTAGAAAAACTAGTAACACATCTGCTGTTTCTCTGGTGTTGCAGATGTCCGTTGAGCAGAATAATGTTTTAACATTGCTTGTTGGTCTCTCTTATCTTAAAAAATACATCTTTGTACAATATTTCAGGGTTTCTGAAGAATGTTAACCATCAGCATAATTTATTATTATTGTAATGTTGACAACGACCAATTCTGTATATTAGGGTATTATTAAGAAATAGGTAACGGTTACGAGGTAATAGAATGTTGGTAAATTAGGCTTGATATTAAAGGACTTGTAATTTACACGTTCCGATTTAGACACATGTCAGTGTATTCTGATTTCAAACTTCATATGTAAATTTATATTCTGAAAACTTTGATATACTACTACTACTAAGCCATGAGACGCCCACTGCTGGGCATAGGCCTCCCGAAAAGATCGCCACGATGACCGATCTTGTGCCACCCGCATCCAGGACACTCCCGCAACCTTGACCAGGTCATCGGTCCAACTTTGATATGCTACATCCAAAATATGAATAAATTGAAAGGTGTGTAAAGTTAATCAACCCACATTGGACCAGCTTATTTCTCTGTGCGTAGTGACCAGTAACCACAGGCTCCCAGCCTCTCGGTGGGCTATATGTGCATACATTATATGTTTATGTTTATTTATATACTAATACAAGCTGTTTGATATTATCTTTGTAAAAATAAGGACTCACTATCATAGGCAGTTGTATAATGGTCACTTAAGATTGTCCTTAGTGTTGATTTCTCATACTACATTAGATTAAGGGTTGCATTTATTGTAGATTTGAACTTGTGTAGTGCAGAAGTTAATTTAAAATTAATAAATATAAATTGCATAATATATTTTGTGTCTATTGATGCTCTGAATCATGTTTAAATGACATCACTGGGGGAACACTTTATTATTAAACATAGAATCATAGTTGATCAATGTACTTCTATTTCTATTCAAATAAACTGGTTACTTATAATTTATTCACACAATAGCTGTCGCCAGCAACACTCAGAGTGCGGAATTGAAAAAAAAAATTGTTGTCTATGTGATCTTCCAGACTATGTTTGGAATCTGTGAAATTTTGTATCAAAATCTGTTGAGCTGTTCCGGAGATACCTTCTAACATCCATCTGAATTTTTGTACCTATAGTATTAGTAAGATTTATTAGTGTTTACTATAACTTTCAATGTATTTCTTTTGATGACATCTCTTTGAACTTATACAATGTAACTCAATGTGACCATCTTAATGCTACCTTGCTCTTATCTTGGTTTTTATTTGCTGATAATAGAAACTGATTAAAATTAATCATCTTTTCAAGTAAACTAACCATGTAAAAACGAAGATATCTAGGTTAATAGTTAAAGTATTCAATCTTACTTATATAATAAATGCCAATATTTAGATGGATGGATGGATGTTTGTTTAAAGGTATCTCCAGAACGGCTGCATGGATCTCGCTGATATTTGACATAGATGTAGACCATAATCTGGAAGAACACAAAGGCAACTAATTAGGTTTTTATTTCAATCCCGGGCAGGCTGAGTCCGGACAGGTATTATTTTAATAGTATCAATAAACCTCAAGGTTTGATTCTGATTTTGTACATGTGAAGGTCATCCAATGTTTATCGCGGTTAGTGGCAACTGTTATGCATGGAAACGTAATTATGACAATTGAACAACAAAAATGAATGTGTTACATCATAGACTATAATAAGTCTCGTCCCACAGTTATCAATTTATGCTAAAAACCATTATTATCTTGTTACTAAAAAAAAAGGGTCTTGGCAGACAGATGGACAGACAAATAATGATCCTATAAGGGTTTCGTTTTTTTTCCTTTCGAGGTATGGAACCCTAAAAAGTTTAAAAAGCAAAATACATAGTTTTAGTTACTTAAGGTATTTTACTTTAATATTCCCATTATTTTTTTGGTATGTTAATAACTTCAGTGTTCCACTTTCAAGTTAACGGAATTAGTCTTGTTATTTATGTCAGTTATTAGCAGAATTCTTAGAAGACTTAACTATATTCTTATACTTAGTTAATACTAGCTGTCGCCTGCGACATCGTCCGAGCCATATTAAAAAGACCTAGCGAGTAGCCTATGTGTCCTTCCAGACTATGTTCTACATCTCTGCCAAATTGCATCAAGATCCATTGAGGTACCTTCCAAGAAACATCCATCTAAACATTTGCATTTATAATATTAGTAAGATTTATCTTTCTCTTAGCTTAGTTTGAGAAAAATTAGTGAATTTGTACCCTTAATATGTCCGAACAAGGAATTAATAAGCATAAGTAAAAAGAAGAATGCGTTAATATAAGATATGAACCTTCTTCATTGGATCACATTGCAAGGTTCTACATGATAACCCTTAGGACAATCACCTTGTATGCTATACATATTAATTTACGATCAGCCTTGTTTACAAAGTAGATAACAATTGTCCATGCGAGCTGGGAAACGGATATTATGTATTTTGTCAACAACTAGATAAAAGAAAACTTTCCTTTCAAAAATTTAATGTATCATACTTTTTGTTTATTTTCCTTGTACAGTCAAAGAATTATATTTGCTTACCACTTGAGATAGAATATTGTAGTTTCCAAAATTACATTGTTAACCTCAAATTCGAATGGGTAGGAAATAATCGTCCTCGACTGTATCTCTTATTTTATTATACAGCGAGTTACATAGTGAATAGCATAAGTTAGTAATAAGCACCCATGTAGGTCTGATTATATTTATATTGTTATATAATACAAAGTTTTATTGTATCCTCGTGTTTTCTTTAGAAATAAGTTCGATGTACTTGTTTGTTAAATAAAATATGTTTTTTAAAGCCCTTTCCCTGAACACATGTCATAACTTGTGTTATTCCATGTTATTTAATCCTGTATAACGTTGAATTTGTAAGGTTTTAATTAAGTTTGTGTTTACAAATGACATTTTGTTCAAGTCTTGTGGAAATATCAGGTCATTCTGTGAATAGGTATGTATCTTTGGCTGAATGAAGCCAGTGTAGTTTGCGAGTATTAAATATATGTTATACCTCATAGTCACAATCTTTATTACGTATGTGTTAAGTATCAAATTTCTTTGCAGTCTTCTTTATACATGTGGTCACGACACAACTGAAGGATTATACTTCCTGACTATACATACCTTAGTAAATTAACTTGATACTTTAAATAATGTTACTCTAAGTTTCCAATAAACAAAACATCCATCCATACATCAAAGCATTCACATTTATAATATTAGTAAGATTTCTGAGAAAACCCTATTGTATTGCCTTTTTTAAAACAAAGTATTTGAGAATGTTATAAGACCTACGATTATCGTCACAAAATAGCAGTTGGAGCAGTAAAATAAAAACCTTGTACTTATTTTCAACAGACGCTGTATGGTGGGGGAGGCGGGCGTGGTCGCGGCATGGCGGGCGGTGCCGGGGGCGGGGCTGGCGGGTGGCGGCGCGCGGCGGCCCGCACGCGCTGTCTGCGCGCCCTCCTGCGGGACACGGCGCGTGCGCTTCGAGACGTCGCAGAAGTACTTCCCTTTGGTAACACAGTTTTATATTTTGAAAATTACCACTAGTGTGACATGATATAAACTCCCTAGTATTCATTGAGTATGTTATGATTCTGGATTATTTAATTCATAACAAATTACATACTAATGCTATAAATAGACTAATCGCTGAT